TTGACTGACGTTGGTGTTGAAAATCCGGATGTTGTTCACGCTTTATGCTGAGTGGAGTGCAGAAGATCTCCACCCTGGTTTCAGGCTGTCTTGCTGTCTTTCCGTTCCTGGCTGCTTTGATATCCTCGTCTGTGCTGCGTGTAGTTGAGACAGTGCTATCTAGATAGGTGAAAGAGGCTACTTCCTTTAAGTTTCTCCCATCTATGGTGATTGCTGCTTCTTCTTGCTGGTTGGGTATCTTCATCACCTCTGTCCTCTCTATATTCACTTGAAGTTCCGTCTTCCTTCGCTGCCCTGTCTCTTCTGTCAACTTGTCAGTTTTCGCCCGTAGATCTTCAAGTTTGTGTGACATTAGACATAAGTCATCGGCGAAATCCAAGTCTTCTGGGTTCTCTTCCGCAGTCTAGAGTATCCCCCTCTTCTCGCTCCCCAATGTTTGTTACATAATCCAGTCCTCTTACAGAGTTGCTGGTGTTTAACCATTGTTTATAATGTAGTACTGGCTGTGTGTCATAGAATCACAAACTAAACAATGCAGTGGTTATGCATAGAGTCCTGAGTAAAAGAATAAAGTCAGCTGATACATCTAGGAACTTTCATCGACTCAAATGGCTAGGATATGTGTTTTGTAGACCTTTTTAACACATTTCTTTCCGTAACTCTGTCTTATTTTGCACCTCTTTATTCATAATGTGTGTATACATTTGCGCCACTGACATCGGTTCTGAGCCATGCGATCACCTAGAGTCAGTCTCCAAACACTGGTTCCTTTTGTCCCACGGACCCAAACCAACCACCCACTCCGCATCACCCCACATGGCTTAAACTAACAGTCAGAGACTTCATATATTGGTACCATGTTTTAGTCTGGCCACCTCGAGTCTTTTTCCACCCTGAACCTAGTTCGGCCAACATTGCATGACGAGGCAATCGGTGACTAGGCATACGTAGTACGTGTCCCAACCATCTCATTCGGTGAAGGTTCATAACCTCGTCAACTGATTTACCTCTGCTTCCTAAAACTCCACACCTGACTTCTGCATTACTCACGAGGTGCAATGACACCATGGAATCGAATACGGCCTATACTACGAAGGCGACGGTGGTCAAACACATGAGGAAGCCTTCTTATATCTTCCAGTTTCAATGGGCATGTTTCACAGTGATAGAGTAGAAGAGAGTGGAGTGTTGTGCAATACACGTGACCCTTAATGGACAGAGGGATATGATGGCGGTGCCATAGGTGGCGTAAATTGTGAAAAGCCAATGGAGTGTTTTGTATCTGTGCAGAGATGTCATTGGCCAGTGATCCACGAGGGTTGATCCTACTTGCCAGGTAGTTAAGTGAAGTGGTCAACACAGTCAACCACTTCACTGTGTATTGTTAGTGGTGGTGGTGCACCTCTGAAAATCAGTCGTGGTGCAAATATTTGTATTTGGGTGTTGAGAACCGCATCGGAAACATTCAGGAATCGTCACTGAAAGTGTTGAGAATACTGTGAATCTTGTCAATGTCTTCACTTAACAGAACTATGTCATCTGTATATTCTAGGTGTAAGGAGAATTTTGCTGTGATTAGGTCAACGTGTGTGTAGTCAGGTGACGAGAGGGAAACCTCCATAAGTATATCTATGATAAAATTGAATAGGAATGGAGATAGTGGGCATCCTTGACGGACACCACTTGATGAGTATAGCTCCCTGGACAACTCACCATAGGCTCTAACATGCCCACAAGTGTTCGAGTAGAGAGCTTTCAATAAGGTGATGTACTTACTAGGCACGCCTTTCAGTGACAGACACTGCCATAAGACTTCTCGATCAACGGAGTCAAATGCCGCCTTCAGGTCGAGAAATACAGCTATTGTCGGGCGTCTGTAAGCATGCCTATGTTCCAGGACCTGGCGCAGTGTGAATATTTGGTCGATACATCCACGGCCAGGTCTAAAGCCTGCCTGGTTTTCTCGGGCTTGCTGTTCCCGAGCTCCACTCAGGCGTCGGAGAATTATAGAACTTAGGATCTTAGACACTATGTTTGTCAGGCTGATTCCTCTGTGGTTATCACAAGAGGACTTCTCGCCTTTCTTGAAGACTGGGATGATGAGTGACTTAGACCAGTCGGAGGGGATCGTATTTGATTCCCATATACTGGCTAACACTTCCGTTAGCCTGACTAAGAGAACTCTACCACCATTCTTGTATACCTCAGCAGGTAGTCCGTCTGGTCCTGCTGCCCTTCCTCGTTTCAGGCTACCTACCGCTTTCTCAACTTCTTCTAGTGTTGGGGGACCTGTCTCTATGTCCCATTCAGGGTCCGACTGGATAGCGGGCAGCGCAATGGTGGCTGGAGGCCAGTTAAACTGTTCCTCAAAGTGTTCTGCCCATCGTCCCAGTCGCCTTCCCTGCGAGTGAATCGCAGATCCGTCCTTCTCCGCTATAACCTCACTAACTGTTGTTGACCTTTTCCCCCAGTCTCCTTAATAAGTCTAAATAACTGTCTACTGTTACCGATCGCCGCTGCCTTTTCCATCTCTTTAGCCTTTGCTGCCCACCACTGTTCACGATCGTTGCGCAGACTTTTCGTCAGTTTATTTTTAAGTTGCGCTCGCTCTTCATTGTACTCAGAGCCTGCAGGGATGCATTCACGTGCATCCATTAGTTTGGAAGAAGCTGCTGATATCCACTGGCTCTTTTTAGCCATTATCTTGGAGTCGGCTACAGTCTCCAGTGCTGCTTTTACAGTAGACTGAAGATGGCACCAAGCTTCTTCTGGATGAGTGACAGTCTTTTGTTCCGATAACTGCCTAGCCAACTTCTCACTGAACACGGCTTTGGTGTTTTCGTTGTCCAGCAGAACTCGTAGTGGTTTTGTTGCCAAATTTTTTCTACGTCCATTGAGACGCAGGCATATACGTGCTCGGACCAACGCATGATCGCTGTCCAAACACGTACTCCAGAAGGAGCGGCAGTCTTCCACCGATCCTCTCCAGCGATGACTAATAGCAATGTGGTCTATCTGTGTCCATCGCTGAGTCGAGCTCGGTGGACGCCAGGTCAGACAGTGCCTTTCTTTATGTCTGAAATTTGTGCTGGCTAAAAATAGGCGGTTATCTGAGCATAGTTGTAATAGGCGATCACCGTTATCTGTACGTTCAGCTGGGATTCCGAAAGTGCCACCTAAGTGCCTTTCTGCCTCACTCAGTCTACCCACCTGTGCGTTGAGGTCACCTGCAACAACCACTACGTCCGAACGTTTGGCTTTCGAGAGGAGGTTAGACAGTTTATGGTAGAACTCGTCCTTCACTTCATCCGAACTACAGTCAGTGGGTGCGTAAGCAGAGATTACAAAGAGACAACGGCGAGTCTCACTATTCCTTTTAGTTCTCACTGTGCCGTTCAGCCTCATAGCGCAGAGGCGACTATCAACTGGGATCCAGTCTAGTAGTGAGTTTTCTGCCCTGGTGCTTAATGCTATACCTACACCTGCAAGACCACGAGAGCTAGCTATCGAATCTCCAGAAACTCGAAGGGTGAATTTTGCAGATTCACCAGATTGGTCAGGAGAGGTCAGGTGAATAACCACACTTGGGTCCTGTATGCGTGTCTCACAAACACAGCACACATCCATGCCCGAGTTGCTAGAGTCTTTGCTAACGAAGCCTGTTGGCCAATTTGACGGAGGGTGCGGACATTGAAGGCTCCAATATGTAATTTGGAGCGTGGTTTAAGGAGACCAGGAATGCTGTTCTGTGGACTCAGATCGTTGTCGAAGGCTGCAGAGGTAGGAGAAATTGAAGATGATGCAGCATCATTAATTAAGAGACGTGAAGGAAGATTAGAAGGTAATGATGGAGGAGGAGGATAGCAGTCAGAAGAAACTTGGGTGCTGACAGAGTTGTGAGGGCGGTTGACACTTCCCGGCTGCCCACACCGTGGAAGGCTATTTATTTTTAAGGTACCTGAAAGAGATTTGTGTGACCGCAAATCCCGTCAGATATCTGATTGAGGCCTATCACATGCAACCTTTTGTGTATGGTTGTTTTGGACTTTTATTTTGGGACTGGATGGTCGAAAAGAAACAACAAATGAACCAACACCGCCAACCCGGTAGACCGTGAGATATGTTGGAGTGTGTTATTTTTGGGGGTGACCTTTTCTAACCCCCGCCCCCCCCCTCCACTGAGAAGGCAGCATCAACATGGCACTTCTCATCATCAAGGGAAACACCTTACTATTGTCACACTCCATCCAGCTAGCAGCAGTACTACTTCGCTCTCAGACCCCCATCATAGTGTAATAATTTACACCACAACGGTAACTGCTTTTCGTCTAACCACTATCGAACATACCTTTCTGGTATGGTAGGACCTCAAGGGAACAAGCGTTCCATCAGCAAAGTTCGTTGGGTCATTGTGATATGCAAGCTCGACCACCACGTCAAGGTAGCAGCTATCGATAGCATTAACTTTTAGTTATACGAAAAACATAAGAAACATCTAATAAACTGTCCAGAAAAAGTTACACAGATAAAATAATAACGTAACGTTAGTCGAAACAGAAAATTAATGATTTCACACAATAATTTAAACAACTTTCATTTCATTTCGCGCTAAAAAATATTCAAAAATCAACAAATATTTCTTCGCATTAGAATTGCTAGAAAACTTTACTTTCTTGTTGTATTCAAAAGGTGAGATGAAATAGCTTATACAATTTGGAGGTTCTTAAGAGTATTTTATTGATTTTCTTTGGATGGTTCCAATCGACAGGAAGCTCTGGACATAAGTTTCGTGCCTTCCATCGATGGAATTGTTATCCTGGTAAAAAGTCGAACCTGTATCACGCAGAGTTGTAGTCAGAGATGTTACCACTTAGTTATTCAAGTCATGATTGACCTCCCATAGGATTAAAGGTTACAGGAGAGTGACTAATTTCATATAGTCAAAATGATCGATAAAAAATTCGATTAGCGCTTAGGATTAAACTACAAGAACAACTTACTTCACTTAATGTCATAGGCTGTTTCGTTTTTGGATCCTCACATACATGAACATCTGCTTTAGTACGAATTGTTTTCTTGATAAAACGTAATAAATGCTTCTGATTCATACATGATGATGCATGTAAATGTGTATCAACCTAGAAAATTAATGAATCAAAAGTCATATAACAAAAGTATGACGTAAAGCTTCACGTAAAACTAAGTAAAAACTATGCAAACTTAAAAATTAAGAAAACTAAAACATGAAATTATTGTTCATCAGTGATAAGATACTATTTTTGAAATGCAAATACGTTACAGCCTTCAAATGAAGAACTTACTTCGAAAGCCTAGATAAACAGTTATACAAACCGCATACAGATATACGAGAGCCCACATCATAGAAGGTTACTTCTTTTTAAGGTACTTGAAGAAAAGGTGTATAACCACAGAGTCTAAGAGACATTTGCTTAAGACCTATCACACTTGACCTTTTAAGGAGTTTGACATTTTAGCTTGTTTTCTGTGAATTTAGCTACAAACCTATATAACCGGCACTGGAAAATATCAGGACAGAGGAGGGTGCACTATTTTGGGAGTCAACTTTTTCTAGCCCCCCCCCGCCCTCTCCTTCCCAATAAAAATAACTACGCTTTCACTATGCAACCTTCATCATAGCGTAGTAATTTACGATATAACAGTAACTGCCTTTCGTTTTACTACTATCCAACTGACCTACCTAGTGTACTACGATCAAGATAAGATAAAATTTCCTATTAGCACAGCTCCTTGGGTTATTGTGATATACAAGCCCTACCACAACGTCAAAGTAGAAGCCATCGGTCAGGTAACTTCAACCGATAAGTAGTAAAGTCAGAATCTATGTTGATATTGTCCGTCTGTCAATCATACATATTATTTATCATTTTTCCCTTGGGTTCCTAGTGGAACATACGGCTTCAGTAGCACGCCTCCATTTCACTCTGTCCTCTGCAGTCTTTTCAAACTCGTTGCACGACTGACCACAAGCTTTCATTTCTTCCTCACATGATTTCCTCCATATCATCCTCGGAAGCCCAACTCGTCGTTTCCCATCTGGGTTCCACTCGACGACCTGGCACTTGATGTCCCCAGTCGCCCTTCTCAGTGCATGCCCAACACAATCCATCTCCACTTTCTTCTTCTGAATATTTGTTGGGTGATAAGTTCTTGATTGGTTCGTTGCCAGCCAGCCAGAGTTCCTTGTTGCTTATTCTTTCTGGTCATCTCATCTTCAATATCGAGCCAGCGTAGGCAGGTGTTAATGAATGTCTGTAGTTTGTTGCAAATGCTTTTTGTAACACGCCAAGTTTCTGAAGCATATGGCAGCACTGACTTGACTGAATTACTATTGAAAATCCGGATCTTGTTCACGCTTTATACTGAGTGCAGCTCAGTGCAGTAGATCTCCACACTGATTATTTTGCTTTCCCGATCCTGGTTTTGACATACTCGTCTGTGCTGCCACCTGTAGGTGAGACGATGCTGCCTAGACAAGTGGGTAGGTGAAAGAGACTACTTCCTTTAGGTTTCTCCCATTGATGGTGGTTGGTGCATCTTGTTGTTGATGCTGTTGTTGGTTGGGTATCTTCATCACCTCCATCTTCTCTACATTCACTTGAAATCCCATTTCCAATGTTATGCCTCTTCTGTCAAATTGTTAGTTTTCGCTTGTAGATCTTTGAAATTGTGCGATATTAGACATAAATCGTCATCGACGAGATTCAAATCTTCTAGGCTCTTTTTATCGGTCCACAGTATGCCCATCTTCTTACTCCTCATGGTTTGTTGCATGATCCAGTCGACCACAATCAGAAAGATCATCGGTGATAGTAGGCAGTTTTGTCTTACTCCTGTCTTCACTTCAAAGGCGTCGCTGACCTTTCTATTGTGGATCACTTGGCATGTGGCGTCTTCAAATAGCTATTGAATGAGGTTGATAAAGATTTGTGGTACTCCGTAGTGTCGAAGAATCATACATGTATAAACTGAAAAGTTATCATACTTGTCGACAATATATAAACTTGGTTTATGTACAAGTATAGGCTGTTGAAATATGACTGTGCATACATGAAATGCAATCTCCAGTACCATAAATGCAGCGAACAGAAAAGAATGTTGTTTACTTCTACACTGCCTTTCATTTGTCGACTGATACTAACTGCATCGACAAGAAATCACGTTTAAGATTAACTGCTGTATAGTGATCACCAAGCTTGGCGATTGTATGTTTATCTGAATAAAAGATATGTTTCACACTACTGAAAAGTTTAAAGATAGTTAGGGACCTATATTTAATGCACTAGGGTTTTTTTACTGATACTTCAAGTGACTTAGGTATGACGCCGTAAACTATCTTCATATCTAGCCCATGATGAAAGAAAATGAACGATTCTAATGACTTGGAACGGAATATTAAAAACCGGGACGACCTCAGCCACCTTTTATACATTCATGCACTAAGAAATGACCCATACCTATAGTTTGAAGGGTAGTGATGCTAACTAGCCGTCCAAACCTCGGTAGGTGGAACGCGGTTCGAATAACCGATTTATTGGTTGATAGTCATCTCGCTAAACCACTGAACCACAATCACTAACATATCGGTGAGAAGTATGGAAATATCAAGTTATCAGAGGCTGTTTGCACAGTCAGTCTGTTGTTGAAATATTTCATTTCGGTGACACTTATTCAGGTCTTAAGAAAAAATGTTAAGTTATTCCCACTTTAAACTAAGAAACAATAGAAAGTCTTAGCACTAAGCATTCTATATTCTTGAATTCACTGATCACTTGAATAGTCAGTCATTAAAATAATTGACTAATTAGTCAATAAGCACACTGTGATTGACTGATTCAATCAATAATGACACATGATTTTCACTGCAATGAACTGCGTTGAAAGAGGAACAAGTTAAATCCGAAAGAAGTATGATCTCTCAGGTTTCAGTTCACATGACTGAAAATCTTAGTGATCTAGTTATAGAAGACACATACTATGACTTTATTCATTGAATACTCCGAAATGACAACTGACTGGTTATTTCTCTCTCTATCTCACCTTCCATACCATGGATATGTAGGGTGCATTTGTTGTAATAAGAAATACAGTCAGGCACTTGAAACAACTAGGTAAAATGAAACCTACTAACGACAGAAATACCAGAGAGTTTCCATTCACAGGAAGAGGAGACAAAGAAAGTAAAGTTCAAACGAATCCGAACAGAAAAACATTATTTATTACTATTATTTGTCCCTTGGGTTCCTAGTGGAACATAAGGCTTCAGTAGCACGTCTCCATTTCACTCTCTTCTCTGCAGTCTTTTCAACCTGGATCCACAGCTGCCTACAAGCTTTCATGTCACCCTCGCATACCGAACTCGTCGTTTCCCCCTTGAAATCCACTCGATGGCCCGACCTGGAGCGTGATGTCTCTAAATGGTCTTCTCAATGTAGCCCAATCCATCTCCGCTTTCTTCTGCATATTTCTTTGGTGATGCCTTCCTGGTTGGTTCATTCCCGGAGATCTTTGTTACCTATTCTTTCTGGTCATCTACTCTTCAGTATCGATTGCAGGCAGCTGTTGATGAATGCCTGTAGTTTGCTGGAAATGCTTTTCGTAACGTGACAAGTCTCTCAACCATCACATGGAAGCGATGACTTACTTGACTGAGTTAGTGTCTAAAATCCGGATCTTGTTTACGCTTTATAAAAAGTGGAAAGCAGTCCATCTTCACACTGATTTAAGGTTAATGAAGGTCCGTCTTGCTATCTTTCCGATTCTGGCTTTCACATCCTCATATGTGCCGCCACCACCACTACCTGTAGCTGAAACGATGCTGCCCTGAATAGGTAGGTGAAAGAGACTACTTCCTTTAGGTTTATCCCGTTAATGGTGATCGATGCTTGTTGTTGATGTCGCTGTTTTTGGATGGGTATTTTCATAACATCTGTCTTCTCTACGTTCACCTCAACGAAGTCCCGTCCTCGCTGCCTTGACTACCCTCGCCTCTTCTAACAACTTGTTGGTTTTCGCCTGCAGATCTTCCAGTTTGTGCAACAGCACATTACACATAAACCATCATCAGCGAAATACAAATCTCCTAATCTCTTTTCATCGGTCCCACCCAGTATATGCCCATTTTCTCACAGCTACTCACAGTTGTCTGTTGCATGATCAACTCTAGTCCAGTCCAGTCTAGCCGACCACAATAAGGAACATCATCGGAGATAGTAGGCGGAAACCTTGTCTTACTCCTTCCTATCTTCATTTCAATAGCATCACTGACCTCACCTGAGCTTTCCATTGTCAACCACCTAGCATGTAGCATCCTCATATACCATGTACCTACCGTTAAACGAGGTTGACAAGCGTCTGTGGAACTGAAACCACAGTCTTGAAGCAGCTGCCTACCAAATTACTTCTCGGTAGGTGCTATCAAAGGCCTTTTGAAAATCGATGAATTTCAGGTAAAGGTCCAGTTGACTGCCACTCTATGCTCTCTTCTATGATAATGAGTAGCAAAGCGTTGCAATTCGATCCACATATGATTTGTTCCTACTGAAGCCAGCCAGCCAGACTGTTCCGGTCGTCATTTTGAATCCATCGCATCTTTCAGTCTCTACAGGATGATGCGGCCCTTCTTCCAATCAACTTCCAGCTACCTTTCTTTCCTTCCACACCTACACTTACATACTTCTGACTGCATAGTAGGTACTTACTAGACACCGTTATCATTCTTCACTTATGCAGTATCTAAATAAGCTTGAGAAAATGCCAAATGAGTGACTAAAAAAAGTTCATATAAGCAACGTGGATGTATCAACTGTTGGTTATATCTAACCTCCTTCAGATATACAAAATGATAGGAAGTAGCCTGAATAGAAATCATCATCTAATTTTGCACCTATGGCTTTATTTTCTGAAGAAAAACTGCAAATAAATAGTGTTTTTTTTGACAAATAAAATTGTTTTCCTTACAGTCATAGTCCAATCTTTATCTTCTGACTTTCGCGGCTCAATAAAGTATCAAATCTGACGGAGAACAGTCATTATTCGTATCTACTCCAATTACCTCATTGTGTTAGTAGCATCTTTCATATTTCATATTATTATGTCA